ATGCTCAGCAAAGGTAATGCTCAGCAAAGGTAATGCTCAGCAAAGGTAATGCTCAGCAAAGATAAGGCTCAGCAAAGGTAATGCACAGTAGCGATACTAGTTCACAGCAAAGGTAATCCACAGCTAAGGTGGTTCACAGCAAAGGTGGTTCACAGCAAAGGTGGTATGGTACACCGCAAGGGCTAGTGAACTTGGGTTGAGACTGTTCTGGTGCAGGTACTGGAGTTGAGAAGTACGGTCGAGGTCGGCCTAACTAGGAGCCGCATTTGCTGGCCGGGCAAAGAGTCGGTCCTGCCGAACAATGATGGTCAGCAAGACTATAACTAACAATACTGTACTATGAAACAATTTCATTTAACACAACACATAAATACATTCAAAGAATTCAAACACTATATTCAAAACTAACATTAAAGTAGAGCAAGTACACCCACCTAATAGGGACGCTACAGGTGCACTCGAAAATAGTGACAGTAGGTACGATCCGACCAAGTTACAGCAATCGAATGAGACGAACTAACAGGGGCTACAGGCCGGTAACGCCACGTCATCAGATAGCACGGTTGCCAACCCTACAAATAGCCGTAAAACTTACGACACAAAATAAAATTCAAATAACTGAAATCCTAAAGGGTGAATTTCCCTTACAGCAATCTATATAGTGATGAATATTATGTCAATATAATATTCAAAGTATGTAATAACATTCACGTTTCATGTTTTATATGTCATTTAAAATTGCAATAGATAACAGTAACAAGATTTATGTTTTTATACGCTGACAGATGTCGAAACAAATGGTCGATTGAATTTAAAAAAATATTAGATAAATATTAATTAGGGTTACAATGCATGTGTGCTTTACATTATTAGGCATAAAAATTAAAAAATATTACAAAATCAAAATATTTAAGGAATGAGTAACTGATGTATGTAATCCAAGCAGATTCATGGCGGTTTGCTTTCAACAGATTTATTGACATTTTTAAATAATGCGCCGCGATTCCCTATATGAAAATGAATAATAGATTACTCAATTGATTTGTTCAATGGTTGAATAAATTTCTGAAGATGCATGAAATTAATATAATATTTTTCACTGAATCATTCCATCACTGTAGTCTGCTTAATTTGAAATACGTGGGCAAGCATTACGTCGAAAACTATTATTAGAGTAGTGTTCACAATTTGTAAAAATGGCTGAAACTAAGGAATTGAAACTAAGTTTATTTTACTCGTTGCTAAATTGAATGATTTTCTGCAATCTGAATAAATTCACAGAGAAATGTGTATATTATATATGCAGGTTTATATTACTAAAAAGATACCAAGTAAAAATAGTGTAATTTGGCCCTACAATAGTATTAATGGAGCGTTGAGGAGCCGCATTTTCCTTTGTTCGTTCAAATTCTACACGTTATTACTGGATATTTCTCCAAAAAAATTAGTAAAATGTCAGAAAAAGTTATGTACGTTCTCTATCCACTTCTTTGCTAAATAAGCTTAAAAAATTACATGTTTATTAGCATAAAATTTCAAAATAAACTTTTTGGATTGGTAGACAAGAATGGCGAAACTTTCATAATATTACTATATTTTATTTTTTCTATTTTACTTTTACAATTTCGCGAAGATATTCTGCTCATTTTAAACCGGCAAAAGTTAGGGACATATTCAGACGCATAATGAGGCTCTTACTTCATTAATCTCACCTGTAATACTGAAACATTCATGCCCCATAAAAGGTATTTTTCTTCCGCAGACCAATCTTCGGATGACGCTAGGAGTAACATGCTTCAGCACCTCGCCCTCTTTTCCGTTATCAGCAAACTGCTGTACATGGCCGCGTCTCTGATTTTAGCAGCGACCGTTGATATGCCTCCGGCTCTCAATAACTGCAAGTTAAATGAACAAGACGGCGCATGCTTCACTGACATTGCAGAACGCAGAGTCGTTTTCTCGACGCCGCAACCTCACGATGTCAAATGATTGCAGACAGGTCAGTATGGGCAATGGACAAGAAATTTCAATGACTGTGTCTTAATAATGGTGTAATATATATACAGGATGGAATCATATTTTTGTTAAGTTCATAGATATTGCGTTTTACTTGGAGTGACAAATATAACTCTTAAAATGTTTCAGTAGTTATAGGAAATGCACGAGGTTTTAGATGCAATTAAGTAGGACCTATTCGGATTGCTGTTTGCATTAAGGAAAATTACGAATGATCTTAGAGTAAGTTCACACCACACTGATTCTCTAGCTGACTGATGTTCTGCAGATAACTAAACTTGCTGGACCCCATAAGAGGTTCTAACCCACAGAGCCACACCCTACTGCATTGCTCTTCATTTAAGTTATGAAAACAATCGAAACCTGACCACTGAAATTCAACATGTACAATTTTCCCCCCGCGATTTTTAGGGAGTTTTTCTGTAATACATATAATGTCTATACATTCATTTGCAATCACAGTAAACAGTTCACTTTCTTTGTTAAAAACGGAATCCGAGTTCGATTAAAAACATTTAAAAAATTTTGTGCACTTTCACTTTGATTTATGCGGTTGCTTCTTACATTACTTACAGGTCTGGAACTGTGGACATGACTTCTACAGTTCTACTGTTTACTTGTCTTCCAATTCCGCTAACTGATCGTGTGCGGCCGGAGTTGTCTTGACATTGCAAGAGTGGTTGACCTGATTTTCCGTGCTTTTCCGCCTAATTCTCGCCAGCCATTTCTTGCGAAAATCCTCTCTCTCTAAAGGGGTGAAATCCTTCTTTACAAAAACGGAGTTGTACTCAGAAGATTTTCCCAGCTTTCTCGCTACCTTCAGCACGTTTCCAACCTGTGCAGGATCCTTTACAGTCACCAACAAAGGTCTGCAGGTGTTGGCAGCAGCATCATTCGAGCGTAGCCTCTTGCACGATTTGATATCAACCAGTGTGCTGAGTGCCTTGCTACTTCATTCTGCAATAAATTCAGTATCAGCCATCACTCGGTCCTTCGTAGCAGCTGCAGAACTTTCGGAATCTCCAAACCAAACCAAGTTGGACTTCCTACGTTCATTGTCCAGTAACTCGCGAAAGATTTAGCTAGCAACTTCGGATAAATGAACTCTTTGAGTCTTTACCTCAAAATTTTTAGTTTTTTTCAGCTGAGCCTTCACTTCAGTCAGCTCATTGCATAGCGAGATAAATTTTTCACTCAGCGAGCGCACCATCTCACTCAAGGCGTTTACTACATCATCCAGCGATTTCGTCTCACTGCCTTGCTCTTCCACCGGCTTTTCGCTTTTTCGAATACCATGAGTCGGTTCATCGCAGTCACGACAAAACCACAGACGTAATTTAGTTTTCTGGAGAAAGAAGTATTCGTCAGAGCTCAACTTCGAGCAGCTGATACAAATGAAGTCTTCGCAGCGTTCACAGATGACCGTCTGATCTGACCCGCTCACAGAGATCTCCTTGCAGTGTTTGCAAGCTTTCATCTCTAACTTAGCTGATTTTATTTTAGCCTTTTGTCTAGCAGAACTAGAGGGCTTTTCGACTATCTTTTTTTCCTCTGTCCAGCCATCGTACAATGCACGGAGAAAACACAAGTTTAAAACTGAATTGACTTGAGTAGAGTTGAAATTAAAATTCCATTTAAAACAAAATTGGAAATTAAAACTACAATGCACGGAGAATACACAATTTTAAAACTGAATTGACTTGAGTAGAGTTAAAGTTCCGTCAAAAATTACGACTCCAGAGTAACAGCTGAACGAGGGGAGAGGGGTGGGCTGAGGGAATGAAGGGCTCGCGACAAACTCGGAAAGGCTTACAGCACACAAACTCGGACAGCGTCATGACATCTCACATTACATTTAAGTTTTGTTGATGTTACTAAACACTTGTATGATAAGGTAACAAACTTGATCTGTGTTAACTAAAAATCCATGTACTGAATACAACTTTTTGTTCAGCCATTCCGAGGATGATGAATTAAGTTTCTAAGGAGCTTAAATTTGGTTTTACAACGTGTAGGATGAGAGCGCTAACTAGTACAAATCGAAACTGGCATCACTACGGCATGACTCTGATTGGTTCGCCGTGGTGTTAATTAATTAATGGGAAACACAATAACTCTTCCCAGTGCAATGATGATTCGAAGAGGGTGGGAAATTTATTATTAGAATTTTAGGGTAAAAGAGATTGAGTGCACCCTACCACTCCCATGCATGTTGCCGGGAAGTGTGGTGCAAACCTACAACCGTCCAAAGATTAACGTCAGTCAGAATAAATTTATAAGTGTAAAATATCATATTGATGTTAAGAAGGAATGTTTATGTCGGAAGATTTATTAGCGTCCTTTAGTTAATGTTCTAGAAATACTTTGTTTATTATATAATAGATCATATTTTTACTTTGGGAGATGCCTAGAATCGTTTTTTTCGGAATATCCCATCGCATGATCACGTTCTTCTATTTAATATTTGTCAGGACGAAATGTTCGCGGATTTTTAAACGCCTTACAACGTTACGAACGAAATTAACCCTCTACTGCCTGACATGAGTAACCGGAGCAGTATTGTCACACAAGCCTACCCAAAAAGGATAGGTTACTAGTGAGCGCAAATGACTTTCACTGATGCTTGCCACAACGTACGATAACTTCAAAATGTTCTCCGTTGCGTACAAACGTCCTCGGTTTGCTACTCTCAATAGTTTACGTATAATTCAATTTGAACGTTATTTTCACGGAGAGTGACATGCGATGGTAGTGGGTTAAAGACGGTGCCGTATGGTGGGTGCTCCTTACCGGTAAATAATTTTTTCAACTAATTTCTTAGGAACTCCTTGGACATTGCATTTTATATAACATTATATTATGATGGTATTATTTTATATTATATTTTTTAATATTATATAGTTTTATGTCATATTATATCATGTTATATTATATTACATTATATTATATATTATCTATATCTCATCATATTTTCCGCCGAACAGAAGTCACTGCGACTGCGACGACGCTTTTCGTAGCTGCCTAACTGCTGCAGGCGGCGAGGCAGCAGAAGCAGTTGGCCTCGCCTATTTCTCAACAGGTTTCATTAAGTGCTTCAGGCTCGCTCCTCCAGTTGTGGCCTGTGTCACGTGGTCCGGGTGATTAAATTTAGGAAAACCAGTTAAATTCTTGATGTAAGCAATTTTAAGCTAAATTTATTTAACAACGAAACATAATTTTCGTGAGGCAATTATCTACTTAATTTTCATAAAATTTAACTTAAATTCATCTAGGATGATGTAGCAAATTTAGCACGCTTCAAATCGTGTGTAGGGAATTGTGTCCCTGTTTGCAGTAAATGATTTTAAAAAAAGTTACGAATAATTTCGCATTATTAGTTTTTAATTTAAATATTTTTTGTTAGGCACATGCTTAATTTGTACAACTTATTTCTACAAAATTCCCAAAACAATAATTTTGAAAATTCTAACTATTAATAGTTTCTTTGTAATATCTCCGATTGCGTTACTGAAAAGACGTTGCGCAGAGACTGCACACAGTAATCTTTTCTCCGCCTCAGATGTTAGCGAGATACTGTCTTTACATATGTGCATATATGTTACATAATGGCAATGTGCGTCACTGTCACACATTACGCAGTTTGATGTCAGCTGGATTGTTTGCACTAATTATCTAAATGAAAAATATAAAATACATTTGAAAGTAACTCAAATTTGTCTATGAGTAACAAAATCTCAGTTGATGAGTGTGACCTATTAGATTTGCTGAAGATTTTTTAATTTAGAAGATTTTGCAGAAGAGACATGTTTATCTTTACAAGATGATTAGGGTTAGCGGAGTATTAATAGTTACACTGAATTCGATGCCCTACTATACATGTACCTGAAGTACTATTTGTATTTTTAAACATTTTATTTTTCAATTATTCTCGTTGAAAAAATACGTTTCTTTTTGAACATGTTCTAATAATAGCATCAATAGCACAATCTCCTCCAAAAAAAGCATCGTCAAGAAGTTACAAAAAATACTTTATCCGACATGATACTGCTAAAAATCTTCGCATGGCCTCCAAATTGCTAGTAAAAACTCATTATAATTTCTTCCACTCCGTATGTGTAATAAAATTTTAAAAAGGACCTCATATATCAGTTTTTTCAAAAAACTTGTCAAGAGGACAAGTTAAACTCGTCTGAAGATCTGCAGTGGCAGGTTTTCGACTTAGCCAATTTTTATCTGCCTTCGACCAATCCTTTGCTGCGTGAAAAAAACGTCATATAAACAGATACTTAACAAAGGTTCTCGTTCAAGGATAGTACTAGACATGACATGTGGTATCCGCATTAACTTCGTTTACACTTAATATTTTGATTATGTTATGTTATGCTTGATTTGACATAATTAAGTTTTTCAATGCCATCTTTACAACATGCATAAAACATATTTAAGTGTTTTTATTGATCACCACGTATAGGGCAACTAAGCTTCAAATTTTATTCATGCTCTGCAATGAATTCCAACTAAAATATAAACAATATGGCTATAAGCTTACTAATCCTAATAGTTATAGAAATATGCGCGCGTGGGTGAGTGTGTTCAGGATTCAAGGCTAACTCGAGGAAATATTTTTATTTTCACACCTGCTGTACATGAGGCAACTCTGAATTTAAGCTCAGAGAAGCACTTCGATATAAAAATTTTCAAAATAAATGGTGGAGCCTTCTTGAATTTACAAGACGATAAAAATGTTTTGATCTTGAACAACAATGTTTGGAGTTTGGTTTACATTGAAGTGAAACTCATAAACTACCATCAATGTAGGCTAACTATCCATAATTGGTGGCTTGTTGAAGTAATTGCAGGCCAAGCATCAACTATAAAAAGTAATACCGAATCTTGCTTGCGATGACCTTTACATGCAAGCAAAATTTGTGGGTTCATGGACATGTTTGCACGAGACAATTTTATTTTTTATGGCTTGATACGGCAGTTGACTCCTTCAAGGTTCCTATGCCGCATAATTATACAGGCTTTTAGAATGTGCCGCCTTGTCTCAATAGCTTTTAGCAAAAACTTGCCAAAGCACTTAACTATATTCCAAAACTGACGAAAGATTGAAGGAATCGAAAAAGGACGTCGGCAAATAACCCACTCTCCATCTGATCAAACGATGAAAATGAGATGTGATGGTCAGAAATTGTTCTGTCCTGTTTGACCTTGCAGGGGCATGAGAATCTTGAGATCTATTAATAATAAATGTGAGAGCGTTGCCCTAGGGCTGTTCGTCGCGTGTAGAGCGCTGTAGCAACTCCTATTGCTGACGTGATGGTGGATAACTTTTTTATTGAAATGCAGCTCGCCAGACTCTAGAAAAATGCTGTATTTTTTCGCAATTTGGGAAAATACAGATTTTATTGATGGATACTAAACATTTTTCAGTTGGAACGATTGAATCGTAATTAAAATAATAAGGCGAAAAGAAAAATACTTATGTATTAAATTTTTTGACGTCTACTTTTTTTAAGATCCAGGTTGTTCTTTTCCTGCTTTCTTCTGCAAAAATTTTCTTTCTTTCCTTTCAACTCTTTCTTCTTCTTTTTGGAAGAGCAAAGTCAGTTGAATTATGCCATTATATTATCAATAATAAAACTTAGACATTTCTTGTGTATTATAAAATTTAAATAGGGTTTATATTCTGAAAGAAATCATCCGAGATAAGATAAGATTCTTCTGATAATAAATCATCCAAGCTCTAGGGTGAAGCCCGAAGTACAAAAAAGCTAATTCGTGTCCATGCCACCATGATTGCTCAATATATAAATTTCCTGAATTCGAATAAGCAACTCGGAAAAATTTTCTGATCCCTGAAATAACGTCGCTTTTTAAAACACAATAAAGATGTTGAAATAAGCAACTCTTTTGTCCTATATGACGGGAAAGATGCGATCTAAATGAACTTGTTAGTAATTCACAAGCGGGAGGCTTTTCATGTGTAGTACCTCGAAACGATCGATGGTTATGGAAGCTTCGAGTGCATGTTTTAACGCCAAAAATACTTGTCGAAAGTTGACACTTATGAACATTTTATGCCGTCAGAGCATACGTAGGGAAGTACAAGTTTAAGCATTTTCGTGATGCTTTTGTGTTCTTTGACTTATTGATGCGTCGAGTATCATACAGTATCTCAGTGAGTTTCATAATAATCTTTGTAGTGTCTCAGGATCACCACTTCCTTTACTGGGCTCATCCTGATTAAAATTCTGACTGGTAATTGGTCGATCTAAGTTCATTCACAATTAGTATAAGCCTGGCGGCTGCGAAGATTAGTGTGGATGATACCCGCTAGGCGCCAAAAATTAAAACCTGCACCTTGATTGTTCTAACATTCAACGTTATCAATTGTTCACGTCAACACGGTTCGTTTGATGAAATTGCATATGATTATTAATGTGGGTTCTTTTTTAATATGTATATTGAAGAAATTAAAGTTCACACAAATCAAATCCCTTGAGTTGCAAAAAAATACCCATTTATTTACGATTCCCCAATTAACGGGGCAATCGGAAAAAAAGAAGCAAAACAATGCGTAACGAGAATGTTTTCTTTCATAAAATTTAAATTCTATAATATTCTTGGGTGTTTACTCATTCCTAAATCATCGTCTGTCTTGTTAGTCATACAGCGAGGACCATTCGGAGGGCATTTAGAATCATTCGTCCGATGGTGCAAGCTCGAACAGGAAATGCCATTAATGAAAGTATAAAAAATATCAAAAACAAAGTGGCATTGCGTGTTTTGAGTAGCACAATAATATTCTTTGTGTGTAAAATCGGGCGATGGAAAACGATTTAAACTAGTAATTCAAGTTTCGCTGACATGCCGTGCAGACCTAAAGGCTATCATCAGTCATAATTTTTTCATCCACACACGCATAGCAGCTAATGCATTTAGACATTTGAAAATCGTGCCAACTTATCGTCGTCCAGTGATTCATTTCAAATTTTGGTTAATTGTTCAATGGAATATTTAATCTAGCACCGTAAGCAGAAAATCTGTTTTTTTTCATTAATTTACACCTATACAGAGCAAATTATGAATGATTTGTCGCGTCCTGCCATATCTTGAGCAGGGAACCAATTATGGGGTGCATTATAAGTCAAATCATTATAAGTGCAGGAAACTTGAGGCAGCCCACTAACTTGTGTTCCACGTATTCAATCGGAAAACTTGATATTTGATACGTTGATGCCGCAAATTCAACGAGTTCCCGATGCAGTTCTGTAGTAAATCTTTTAACCGAAGGAATAGAGCAATTTTTACGAGTTCCCGGCAATATCATGCAGTGTAACGAGTTCCCTGGAGAATACTGAAGTATAGTGAACTCCGAAGAATTCGCTTCATGTGACTGAGAAACTCAGATTCCGAGGGAAGGATGTGCTCAGTGTTTTGTTAGCCTCATCAGAGAGAGCGTGCCAGAAGCTCCAGAGGGCAACTGCGTGTGAAGAACAACTATAAAAACTTCACCGTTCGTCGGAAGAGTGCTTAAAATGGCATCAGCGCTATAAAACCAGACCAGTGCGCGCTCTCATATAAAGAGCATTCAAGACCTGCACATCCGAGAGTGATTTGAAAACTGAACTCAGATCGTGTAAACAAATTCTAGTCAATAATGGGTCGTCAAATAGAACAGTTGACACTGAAATATCAAATTACAGATCGAGAAAACCGAACAAACAATGAAACAATATCTAATGGAACCATCACAATTAACGGTCTTCTACCAAAACCAGATGAACAGAGGCTACAAAGTGGATGAACGAGTCCTACAGTCAATCATCCATAATATCAAGAGCACAACGGATAACGAAAATATAAAACTTCTGATCTACTACAAAAATAAGAAAATTAAAAACTTTGTAATGAATAATAATCCCTGTAAAAAATCTGGTCTGCTTCAAGAAACTAATGTTGTTTATAAATTCTCATGTAATAAAGATGGTGCACCAGCACCATTGGCATAGTTATGCTGTGCCCTGACCCATCGAGACTGGCGATAGCTGAGGCTCTCATTATCAAGAACGAGTCTCCAGCTATCAACCTCCAAACTACAGGATTCGTCCGGACGCTGAAATTATTTTCAGAGT